TGTCCTGAGCCAAATGCAGAATTCTGCATGTGGGTAACAAGGGTTAAATGCAGAGATGAGGGATACCTGGTTGGCCAGTCTGGCCAACAATCTGTGAAAAGAATCTTGGGGTTTGCAGTTAGTCACAGGCTTAACATAAGTCAGCAGCATTATGCAGCTACAAAAAAGGCAAATGTGATTACAGGCTGCATTAATAGAAGCAGATCACAAGAAGTAATAGTTGCACTCTATTTTGCACTAGTCAGACCTAATCTGGAATGCTGTGTTCAGTTCTGGGCACTGGCTTTGAGAACTGAACAAATTCGACCGAGCGGTCGCGCGGGGCGTAAAATGGGTGGGGGGGGGGGGGAGTGTGGCAGTTTGGCCCCGAGCAAAATAACACACGGCCGCCCAATCACACGCCCTGTCGAGGTCCCGTGGCGAGGTGGCGATCATATGACAATCCTGCAGCGTGGCAGAGAAGCGGTGCGGCACGATCTCACCAATGGCATGTGCGATTCTGCGGAGCAGCAGAACTTTCGCTATCCTCTTCGTGCGCATGCATCGTTGGGTGCTTGTGCGCATCCTGTGGAGACTTGGGGGAAAAAACCTGTTTGCGATGGGACATGGGCGGGCGCCGGATGCCACGGACTACCACCGGAAACGCAATCAGACGCCAGCCCTTGCCCCACGGTTTCCAGAAACTAGTACCTCGGAGGTACTAGTTTTTAACTCTGCATCTTCGTCGGGAAGCCTCGGATTCGCCACGGGAGCTCTACGCTTCCCAGATGTTGCGGTGTGATCGCGCCCGGAAAATCCGCCTATCATCCATCTCAGTAGCATGGCTAATGCTCCGTGTGACCGCAGCCCGAGTTCACAAGAGGACAATTAAGATGGTCAGAGGTGTGAAGAACAAGTCACAGGAGGAAAGGTTGAAGAAACTTGGTATATTCAGCCAAGAGAAGACTAATTGGGGTGGGGAAAACATAATCATGCTCTTGAGATACCTCTAATCTAATGGGTTTAAGTTATAGGCTGGGGGCGGATAGATAAACAAGAAACTTCCTAATGTTAAGAGCAGTTGATGGAATCAATTCCCTAGGGCATGGGTGGGCTCTCACACACACCATCAGGACCAGGTTGGAAATCTGTTGTGGATTGCTTTAGCTTCAGATTTCTTGCATCAAACTGTCTTATATAAAGCCCCTTTCAGTTCTGTCAATTAGTAACAAAGAGTCAGTTCAGCACACTGGTGTAAGTATTCAACTAAAACGGGGAAAACCATGGTTCATATCTCTACTTGCCGGCCAAACTGGCTGGATGACCAAAGGCCAACTCGCAGAAGAGAGAACCGTCTATGATACCCTGAGCTCCTTGGAGAATTTGCACCCCCTTCCTGACATTCTGTTAAGTGTGTGCAAATCTTCCCATTACTGTTTCCATTTCCCTGATCACAGCTATGTGAGGACATATGCACCTGAGGTACTTTGCTGAGCCTAGTCATGTAGTATGATGAAGTGTGACATGACCCAAGATGGTGAACAGCCAAAACCATTTTTGTGCAAACTTGCCCTTCGCACTGCACAAACTTTTAAAGGCATAGATTTGTTCAAGAATAGATCCAAACAGCCAAGCTCAGGGTGAGTTAATGATGTCACTCTTAAGAAAGCTATCCAGCTAGATCAAGAAGGGTTAGTCTGTCTGTAGCAGTGGAAAAGAGAACAGTAGCGCCTTAAAGGCTAACAAAATTTGTGGCAGGGTATGAGTTTTCGATCAGTGACTCACAAAAGCTCATACACTGCCACAAATTTTGTTATTCTTTAAGGTGCTGCTAGACTCTTGCTCTTTCCTAAAGCTATCCAGCACAGAACACAATTCCGCAAACAGTGATTTGCTTTAGATAATTGGCTAAGTATTTTTAATTGATCAAAGGAGAAATTTCAGGTGTACTAAATCATTAATGCCCATAAAGCCCCTTCAGTTTCTTATCCCTGCTTCCATATCTAAGCTACTGCTATCAGCAGAGGGGTAAACACTGGGCTTTTAAACCACACTGCTGCAATTCTTCCATCTGTATGTCAGTAGTGTAGGAGGGCTATATAGATTCCTGCTTGCAATGTTGGATTCCAGATCCTCCTCCTCCTCTAAATGTCGCTTGCCAGCTCAGCAGCAACAATGGAGCAAGATTAAAATAGCAAAATTCTTTTAATGACAGTATTGTACATTTGCTCACAAAAAACCTCGTTGTCCTTTATGTAGCATAAAACTCTTTGGGTACAACTCAACCAGAGTTAACCCAACAGACTTAACTGTGTTTAAGCCTGTTCAAGTCAATGGTGGTTACATCTGTGCTTGATTGCAGCCTGCCTAACGATCTATACCAGGGGTCCCCAACCTTTCTGCACCTGTGAGCTCATTTGTAATTCTGACACAGCATGGTGGGCGTGGCAACAAAATGGCTGCCACAGTAGGTAGAGCCAGCCACAAAATGATTGCTGCAGCTTAACTTCAGGGGAGATCTTTGTGATGTAGTGGCAGCTGCTACCAAAGCAATCAGAAGCCTTGCTGGGCAAAACCTCTATCAGGCTCTATCAGGCCCCACCCACTTCCTAAAAACACTTGGTGGGCACCATGTTGGGGACCCGATTCTAGAGAGAGAAAGGCACCCTCCAAAAGTGTTTAAACCGTTATGTCTGCTGGGTACTATTTCAGTCGAATGTACAACTGTGTGATCGCTGTGCGGCTCCCCAGAATATTTCCCTGCTTATACTTCTCCAGATTCATTTTACAAAAGCCAATCCAAATGCTCAGTTATTTCTCCACCTTAGGACTGGCCTTTTGGAATTATAGCAACACCCACTCAGTGACAAGCTATAGCCAAAGCTGTGAGCATCAAGGAAAGAAAACATTTTGAATGAGTACTGGCTGAAGCTTTTAACTCAGGTCTCAAAGTTCATCTGACAAAAGAGCAAATTTCTAGTCTTTGTGATGATGGAGATATGCTTTCTTTAAAGTGAACATCTTAGAAGCTGAATAACTAGCCACATAATCATTGACAGGGCTGGTTGAGTAAGATTCTGTGTGGTTAGAAGGCAAGACTCCAGCACAAACCCCCCCCCCCACTTCTTGCCTCTCCTACGAACCAAAACATAATTATGCAAAGTTGTACAAAAATTTAAAAAATTATTATGCAAAAAATATTATGCACACATCACATATTTCAGCTTCCATTGATCAGAACTTGGATTGCCTCTGTGCTGAATTTTACTTGTTTTTAGTGCCGTGTACAAAAGAGCCCTGATTTGTAGTGTTTGTAGGCCCTACCTAGAATCTTGTTTCCATTTTTTTTTTTAAAAAAGCCCTTCTCATGAGTACCTAATGAAGAAACCAAGTCATGCAACTTCACACGGCTTTTAGCTTTACCTTAAATGACAAACCGCTTGCTGGATCTGTGCAATTTTTAATGGAGGGGAAAAACATTTAGATACAGAATATACAATTCCACACTGGATGACAAGATTTCAATAAATTTCTAAGTAAAAAAAAGCATGTGGTTTTAAAGGGAAGGAACCATAATAGTGGTTTTTGAAACCTACATTCCTCAGGCACTGCAGAACAATTTTTTTACTGCAACTGAAATGGCATAAGAAAATTGTGGAAGGGGGGGGGGATTGTATTTAATCCTTGGCAGTTTTCTTGAACACTGTCCAGTGACACTCAATTCCGTCACATACTTGTGCATAAATATGTACACACACCTACAGTTTGACCATCCCTTTAACATTTCACCAAATAAACCCTTACGTTTTTTCAAGCTTTAGAAAATACAGACACATTGCCACATAACTTGGTAGTATCTTGACATTCTCATCTTTCCTTCAGGACTTTTGCTCTGCTGGAATTTGTATAACTTGTGTCTCCCCCTCCCCCCACCATGCCATCACTTCTAGGAATGTGCAGACTACCAGTGAGTTTACACTAGGATAATGGGCATCATTTTAGGAACTAGTGCCTCTATGTGGGGCCATGGCTCTGTGGCAGAGCATCTGCTTGGCATGCAGAAGGTCCCAGGTTCAATCCTCGGCATCTCCAATTAAAAGGATCAGACAGGAGGTGATGTGATGTGAAAGTCCTTTTGAATGAAACCCCGGAGAGCTCTTGTGAGTCAGAGCAGACCACAGTGACCTCAACACACCAAAGCTGTGACTCAATATATTTGTTCATATGTATGGCTGCCACATGGGAGGAGCATTTTGTCATAACGGGAAAAGCAACCCCACTTCTAGAGCACTGCCTACATGTTCCAAAGCTTCTTTCTACAGTACAAGTCTTGTCAAAAGAAAAAAGCTTACTTCTCAAGGTTCTGCTTTTGCTGGCCTATTCTCCTAAATTTCAAGGATGGAAGCCATCCAGGCTCCCGCTAAGATCATGCTTGAGAGAAAAGAAATCCTCCTTGCATCCCACGGGGATATCTGGTAATTATCCCTATCCCTTCAGAAGTCCTCATCTGAAGGCCTAATTCTAGATCCATGAACATATGGACCCTGAATACGGGCCTTCTGCATCTATAGATGCTTCTTTTGGTGTGGGCTTGTTTGAAAATTGAGCCACAAAGTTCATATTGGCACTTTGCGCCTTACCAGTATCCAATGCTCATCTAAAACCAAGATCCCCAAAGTCCATCCCTGAGATGTACCAATGCAACAACAGGCATGACAGATGTCCATAGACTCTTAAAGGTCCTATGTCAGCAAACCTATTAAAATCAACAATGCTCAATCAATAGCTTGCATATAAATCCCACAGAGGGGGGGAAAAAATCAAACGTGCAAAATTTAAGGCAACAGGTGTAGTCTGCAAAGCCGTTCCATAGTCTAATGATAATACATTGCGGGACCTCCCAACCTTGGTTAGGTGTGGTTGCCCTCCCCCACCATGTGATGCAGGCAACACCCTCCTCCTTCTCAGGTTTTGGAGCTCACTGCGATTAAACGTCACACTGCACTTGGGTGGGGTTCTCCCCCAGCTGTAATTCACTCAAGTCACAGTTTACAAACCCACTGCTAGCCATGGATCATATGATGGTATTGCAGTAAAGGTTAGTAAAAATTCCAGTACTCCCAACACTAATCAAAAAAAGGAGAGGCTTGGGAGAAGGATGACACATACATAGCTATGCTGCTTTCATATTCACATAACCATGGCTAGGAAGGCTGGGCCTGTACTGGGAAGAAAAGGGGAAAAAAACCCACCATGACTCTCATGCAAGACTTTTCAAGAGACAGAGATTGTGTAACGGCAGGTGGTGTGGGCCTTCGCATCATAGACAGAAGGCAACAGTGCTCAGGCTGCTTCTCTTGTACATGAAGCCATATAACCAGAAAGACATCACAAAACAAGAACTGTACAATTTCTGAACTGCACTGTTTTATTTTTGCTGCTTGAAACCTAAGTGACAGTATGCCACCATAATTACGGGGTTTCTTCTAAACCTTTACTACACTGCAGGTACAGAAATATACGGACACATTTTTGGAGAATTAACATTTTTGCAAAATGCAGCAAACATTTTGATTTATACATGAGAAAAAGGGGAAGTGTTCAAAAGGGGGTATGCATTTCAAGTTATTGCAGGTTATTTTTGTGTGTGTGAGATTTATTTTTCTGCAGGTAAAATAAATGTTTAAATTTAACCAACAGGAACGTGTCAGTGTATTTAAAAGTCATGACAAACGAAAACCTTTTCTCCGGTCATTAGTTGCCCTTTGACAAGTTACTAGGGTGTTGCATGGTGAGGGCCAGATGCCAAACACAGCGTAAATCCCGCGGCATTTTGGTTTTCTTCTGGAGATTAAAGCTGTTTTTTTTCTTGGGATAAATGCAGCAGCAAAACACAAACCAGCTGATCAAAAAAGCACTTCTGCCATTAACTCCAAATAATTTCTGGGCACACCAACCGACAGTAGTTTTGCCATTCCCAGTTTTGTTTTTTAAAGGTTTTACATCACTGCGCTGTTGTTGCCTTAAGTACGTTTTGTAATAGCCTGTTCTTGGTTTTAAGCCAGTTTGCTGACTACAGCCTGGTTGAGAGAATTTAGTTGGTTGGTCCATTTATCTAAAGCGGTATACCGTGCTCCGCCCCTCTTCTGATGATCCAGCTCAAGGAGTTGATTAACTTGATCGATTCGGCCATGAATAGTGCTAGAATTAGAGGGGAAAAAAACACCTCCGGTAAGTGGGTGTCATAAAACAAAGAACAAAAGGTTTGGCGTGGACTTGACAGGAAAGGAGATGGAAGGAAGAAGGCGGCTTACATGAGCCCAACTAGGTGGCTCCTGATCTCCTTACCATGGGAGCACCCTGGGTTTATCTCTTTTATATGCTGCTTTTCTTACTCCAGGATTTGCACTCCGGATTCTTAAGAGGGCTTCCACCTGGACCTGAGCAGACCCAGACCTGCTTAGCTTCAGGAAGGTTGGCTTCCAACATAATTGGGGAGAATGTGTAGGTTTTTATCATCCTTCTTTTTCCCTCCTTCCTACTCTCCCATGCATGATCCCCCACTTTCCTTTTTTAGAGCTAACCACCATGCAGTGTTACCACTGCACCAACATTAACATTTGCCAACATTACCACTGCACCAACATTAACAACAACATAACCATGTATAACATTTGTGAGGGATGCTCTAGGCTGATCCTACATTGAGCAGGGGGTTGAACTAGATGGCCTGTATGGCCCCTTCCAACTCTGTGATTCTATGATTTTATATCAGACCAGACCAGACTAGAGTTTTGCAGGCTCTGGTTTGGTTGTGTCTCTGTAAAGTGCTGTTGAGTTGCAACTAGAGATGTGAAGGCCCGGAAAAAAACTGGAAAAATTCGGGAAAAAACCCATTTTTTCCCCGTTTTTTTCCTGAAGCCTTTTTGTTTTTTTCCGAAAAATTGGAAAAATTGAAAAAAGAAAAGAAAAGAAAAAAAAATTGATTATGGAATATTTTAACATGATGAATAAAATATTTTAAGACTAGGTGTTCAAATATTTTCCAAATCATTTCTAAAATATATATATATGATATCAGATTGATGTAATTTCTGTGCACTGAGGACAAGCAAGTCCTAGGTTCCAAACTGAACTCTCCAATGCAAGAACAAGATGCATTTCTTCCTTTAGGAGGTGCGATTGTCAGAAGAAAATAAAAAAGTTTCAGTTTTGTTTTTGCATGTGGGTGGGTATTTTGTAATAATTGTTTGGATACACTATATTTTTAATATGCTAGTTGTGATAATTTCATGCCAAGTAAAAATGTCCATAGTCATATTTTATGTTCGTAAAGTAACAGAATGACTTTCAAACTAGAAAAGACAAAAGAAAGACAAAAGAAATTCTGTTTTTTCCCGGAAAAATCCCGGGGAAAAAACAGGGTTTTTTTCGAGTTTCAAAATTTCCGGAAATTTTACATCTCTAGTTGCAACTGTCATATGAAAACCCTGTATGGTTTTCAAGGCAAGAGACTTAACAGAGGTGGTTTGCCACTGCCTGCCTCCGTTTAGTGACTCTGAAATTCCTTAGTGATCTCCCATCTAAATACTACCCAGTACTGACCCTGCTTAGCTTCCGAGATCTGGGCTCATTAACGTTGCCGTAGAGCTAACACTGTACCCTGGATAGCTCGGAAACAG